TCCCATCAACTGGCCTTTCATCATGGCTACACCCAATCTCCCTTATCCTTAACCTAGCCTAGCTGTGTGATTCTGAGCAAGTCACTTAACCCTAGTTGCCTCAGTTTCCTCCTCTGTAAAATGAGCTGGAGAAGGACATGGCAAACCACTATAGTAGCTTTGCCAAGAAATGCCCTAATGCTGTCACGAAGGGTCAGACATAACTGAAAAATAACTGAATAACAATATTATTTTTAGTAATAGTAGTAGCAGTAGTAGTAATAGTAGTAGTAGTAGTCGTCATCATCGTCGTCCCATTTAGTAATCACCATAGTGATGTTTCTAATCTAATGTTTCTAAAATTCTATTTAAATCCTCAACTTCTTTCATTTAAAAATGATTAGATTTTTATAGGTCTGAAAGGGGTTTATTAAGGAATCCCACTCATAGCTTTGCTGTCTACTTCTCCCTGTAACTAGGTTAACTTTTCCTACAAGTACTTAGATGCTATGCCATTTGGTGAACACATGGTAAATACTGATATTAACTCACTATCTACAACCCCCCTCTTTAAGGATAAATGTAGTTTCTGTGTTTATCTCTTTTAATCAAGTTTATTTTTGCTGCTGCTCTGAGTTCACAACTGCTATCCCTGTTTATTTTTTAAATTGCGAGGTTTTTGTTGTTGTTGTTTAGTTCACAGGTATCACTCTTACTATGGACAAAACCAGATTAAAAGGTAATTAAGAAATGTTTAATAAAATAAAAAATATATATATATAGTACAATACAGATAATGTTCATTTGTGGTTTTCTACAGAGTTTTTTTCTATTTGTTTGACATCACTGAGCTAAAGCATAAAAGACTTTGCTACAATACTTTAATTCTGTATAAATCTTAGTAATCTGACATCCAAAAATGTATAAGAAAATGCCACAAATATGAAAGAATAAGAGCCATTCTCCAGGAAATAAGTGATCAATGTACAAACTGGTCATTCTCAACCAATAAAAAACTCTGACTCAAATTAAGACAACTCACCTTTGAAATTAGCAAAGACAGTAAAAGTAATTATTAACACAACTACAGAAAAACAGGAACCCTAAAACTTCAGATGAAATTACAAATAACCTAAATCTTTTTAGAAAGCAATTTGCAATTAAATAGCAAAAATTACAAAAATGTTGATACTCTTGAACTCAGTGGGCTCACTGCTAAGTTCATACCCAAGAAGGTTAGATAGGAAGCAACAGACAAATCTGGACAAAAGACTACAAATGGTGCTAAGTAAGGCAAAAAAAAAAGTGTATGTACTATAAACTATGATTGAGAAATGACTGAACAAATTATGTTATTTTATGGAATGAAATGGCATACTATAATGACATATATGAAGAATTTAAAGATTTATCAAGAGTTATATACAGTAAAGAGCGAAAAAACAGAACCAAAAGAAGTATACATAGTAAAATATAACTATCAATAGAGAAAATAAAAACGAGTTAAATACACAAAAAAATTAGAAAAGGTCATTCTTTTCACTTAATTAATTGTTGACTAATGGAGTTAAACAAGACAACTGTATTACTAACCTGTTAAGTTATCACACATCTTTTTTTAAAAATAATGGAATGAGTACAATAATAACTGTTCTATCTCACAGGGTTATTGTAAAAATCAAACAAAAAAGGAAGTATAAGTGCTACTTAACCATAGCAAACTACATAAATTAAAAATAAATGTTTTAAAATAGTAAACAATATGTTTATACAATAGACACACTTTAGGGATAAGAATCCTCTACTTCCTATTATACTCCTCAGTCTACCTTGCTGAATCTTCATCTATGTCATGCCCACTAATTACAGGTATGCATCAAGGATCTCTTCTTTGGAAACAATCTCCTTTTGCTCTGCATCAGTAGTTCTTAAACTTTTTTTGTGTTACGGACGCTTTTGGAAGTCTAGTGAAGTCTATGGACCCCTTCCCAGAATGTATAAATGTATAAAATTTGAAAAACAGAGGATTTAAAAAGATAACAACTATGATGAAATAAAGAACCCCTGCTCTATAGTATTTCACTTGGTGATCTCATAAGTTCACACACATTCAATTATCATCAACTTGATACAAATGATTTCCAGATCTACTTTATCTAGACTATGTTCTTTCTCATGAGCTCCAGGCCCCTCATCATCTTCTTTGCTTCTTGGACATCTCAAACCAGATGGCCTATACCATCTCAAACTCAACATGTCCAAAAAAAACCCCTTCATTATCTTGACCCCTAAACCCCTCTCTACAGTAATAACTGCAAGCTTCTCTATTAGTATAGAGGGTACTACGATCAATTAGGCTTTCAGCTCTGTTTGCAATCTTCAACTACTATCATTCACCCTACACATACAATCTGTTGACAAATCTTGTTACTTCCTTCATGACATCTTTTTATATATGTGTGTGTGTGTGTATATACTTCTTCCTACTTATACAGCCATCACTTTTGTGAAAGTCTTCATCATCCCAGGCCTACATTATTATAATAGCCTTCTGGTTGGTCTCCACATGTCAAGAGTCTCCCCATGCCAAGCCAGATTCCACCTAGTTACCAAAGTGCTACTTGACTGTGTCACACTCCTACTCAATAAACTCCAATGGTTCCCTATTACCTCCAGGATCAAGTATAGAGTGTTGTCTTTGGCTTTTAAAGCCCCTGGCAATTTGGCCCCTCCTCACTTTTCCAGTCTTCTAATACTTTACTGCACTTTACTGAATTCTAAAATCCAATAATACTGTCCTACTTTCTGTTCCTCACACACAACACTTCATCTCCCATCTCTGGAACTTTGCACGGGCTGTCTTACATGCCTGGAATGCTCTCCATCCTCATCTACACTTCTTTTGGTCACTGGCTTCCTTTAAGACTCAACTCAAGAACCATCTTTTGCAAGAGTGTTTTCCTGCTGTCTCTCCCCTTCCCATCTCTACTCTAAGGCTTACCTTTTCATTTACTCTGTATATAGCTATTTATTCACATGTTACCTCCTTTATTAGTCTGTAAACTTTAAGGGCACTGATTGTTTTTGCCTTTGTATCCCCAGCACTTAGCAGAGTTCCAGGCACATATTAAGTACTCAGTAAAAAGCTTGTTGATTTAACTTGATCATTTTCTGATAACATTTTTCTATAACTAAGAATCAAAGAAAAAGAGATGTTATTCTGCCTGTCAAAATACTCCCAGTAACATAAAAAAAAAGATATTTGGCCATTTCTCCTTCTTTATGTAACTGTCATATGTTATTTTTCATATATCTGCCAATAAACATCCTCATTTTCAGTGTGAAAAGCAGCAAGTGAAAATGGAAAGTTTACAATATATTTGCTGTACTATTTTAGTGAAGATGAGATAATTCTGGTTATTTACAATTCTGATTTTTAGCCAAATTTTTAAGAATATAACTATTTACAACAACTCATTGAGACCTGTTTTAATAACAAAGAAATGTAACCATGGTAATGGACCATAACTAGTCAAAGGCTAGTATAAGAAAGGTAGAGGCATAAGGCTCATCTAAATTCAGAACAGAAGAAACTCTTTCTCACACAAGTGGAATCCACCCAATGTCATGCCAAACAAGTTATTTTTTAAAACATGGTCTTTAGATTATACAGACAAACTGAATAGAAGATAAACATGGTCCTTTTTCTTAGAAACTGACTAAAGTCATACTAAATATTTGCATAAAGGATACTAATGAAGAAGTAGCTCCAAGAGTACTAAAAGAATATAGTATCAGCATAACTCAAGATAAGTTAAACCCACCACTCTGACCTAAAAATGCACCAAAAGCTAAGGCGAGAAAATGAAAGGGTTTTGACTCAGGCTGCACATGCAAAGCAAAGCAAAGTATAGTTATCAATTGAGGCAGAAATGTGTAGGAGAGATGACCGGGGGAAGAATAAGGAAAGACTGATGGCTTGGAGCACTGTGAGGATGGGAAGAGTGAAATATAACTTCATAACTATAATATCTATGTTTCGATACTAAGAAAGCTTTAGACACTATACATACAAAGTGGACCTATACCTTTCAGCTGGAGTTGTGTAGACTCAGTAAAGTACTTACATAAATCCAGACTACTGTGACTTTAAAGGCCAGATTATGTGACTCTTTAGATGAAACGAGATGGGAAAGGAGGGTAACCAGGAGATAATAAATTAGCACTGAGGGAGCAAAAAGAAAACTCAATATAGAGTGAGAGGCTCATGATTCAGATATCTACTGTCACTTACTCCTGTTGTGACTATGGGCAGTCACATTACTTCTCCAAGTTTCAGTTTCATCACATGCAAAATGAGATGAGTAGACTGAATCCTGTGTTCTTTACCTTTAGTTTGTCATGGACTCCTCAGATTAACATTTTCCAATACATAATAAAATACATGGGATTATAAACTGTACTGTAATACATTTATCAAAATATTTAAAAATAAAAAACAAGTTCACAGACCCCAGGTTAAGTAAGAACCCCTGGACTGCTTTTGAAATACTACATCAAAACTACAGAATAATCACAATTTTTTAAAAAACCCTCCTTCTGCCACAATAAATAAAACCAGAGGCCTGAGCTTACTTTTGTTTAGAGCCTTTATTTAAAATGGTGCCCTCAAGGTCTTTAGAGCATTTAGTTATGAAACAAATATGGTATAATCCAAAATGTCCTGCCCTCAGCATGAGTAGAAGCAGTGCTCTCATCCTCTTTCACTAACCTGCTGTATCACCTTAGGCAAGTCACTTAAATTCTTTGTGCCTCAACTCTTAAAGAAGTATTAAGTATTCTTGCTTTACCAGACTTTCAGGTTTTAAGAATCAAAAGCAATAACACAAATGAATTGTGCTGTTATAATACATTGGTACAATGTTTTTTAAAGGGGGGGAAGGAAAAGAATAAACAAAAGAATAAATAAGAGACTAAAATAACAAGAATTTCCTATATCACACAATTGATATAATTCTTACCTTTCTCTGCTAAATTTCAGTGAATGCAGTATGGCAGGTCTCTTCTGACGTAAATTCCACAGATGTAAGGTGTCATCAGCCAAGGCACTCACAAGAGCTCCCTTTAATATAATGTCAATTATATTACATATTACATATAAATATTAAATATCATTAAACATCTAACAAAAATTTCTCCTGTAGTTCAAAGTCCTTTTCTGGACCCATTTTTAAGAAACTTAGATTTGCAAAGCCTTTCTCTAATCAAAATGGTAAGACAAGTATAAGTTACATGTACTCAATTTTTTAGGTCTTTAAAGTGAAATTTCTTAACACTAGAACCCAGTTAAGAAGCATAGATGTTCTACTAGATACACAAACACATATAACTAGAGCTCAGAATAAGAATAAACTGATCACTGTTGGCAAATTAAATACTTTGTACAACATAGCAGAAAATAGTAGCCATGAAGTAATCTCACTGAGGGAGCAGGAGTAGCAGGTAGTGGCAGTTGAAGGAATATAAACCTTTACATCAAACAAGTAATTATTGGTGAAAATGGGAATCGACAGAAATTATAATAATTTCATACAAAGTTTAACTAACGTAAAGCAACTGCCATAACAAGTAGACCAAAAGAAAAAAGAATAAGAAAGATTAGATAACCAAAGGTAGTTTCAACTCATTTTTACTTGAATCACTGAACTTCCTGGCACTGCTATTCCTTACCACCTCAGTCTTCACACCATTACCATGACTTACTCAGCCTATATAAACCAGAAAAATAACTTAATTCCAAACTAACACTTTCCATCACCTATATACTTTGCCTATAGCTAACATTTCTATAGGGTTTTAAGACTTGATAAGCACCTTACAAATATTTCATTTTATTTTGCATATGAGAAAACTGAAGCAACAGGTTGAATAAATTGCTCAGGGTCACAGACCTAGTAAATGTCTAAGGCCATATACCTCTGAATTTGGGCCTTCTGGATTCCAGATTCAGCACTCTCCCCACTGTGCCATCCTGCTGCTCCTATTTCTAAATCCATTTGCCACTGTTATTTCTGAAGGGTCTGAATTCCCTCTGCTACTCAAGTAATCGCTCTTTCACTTCCCTCTTCAGCTTTTCTTCCACCAAAATAAAGTATCACTATATCTTTCCAACAAAGGCAGAGACACTGAGGATAGATAAGTCCTCCTTCTTTTACTAATACCCGACAAAGCAATTATTACATTTTTCCTAGTTATCTGAAATTTTAGAGACCAGCTACATTTTTGCTTATTTTCCAAAATTTTATTTCCAAAATATTTTAATGCTGTTTTTTTATTTACAACATGTTAGATATTTCAAGACATATAGATTCATAGAATCTTGGAGTTGAATAGGACCTTCAAGATCATCTAAAAGAGACATTATGATACAAGGGGAAAGTACTAGACCTGTAGTCAAGAAAGAATGGGATTCAAATCCTTACTCTTCACACTTGTTAAATATATAACCATAGACAAGTCGATTACTTCTGAGTTTTAGCTTCTTCACCTGTAACATGGGGATAATAATACCTGTAACTTTTCCCACAGGATTGTTATAAATATTGCCAACAAACTTTAAGGAGCTATGTAAATGCCAGTTACTATTATGGATTTTGTCCAATGCTCTCATTTAGTAGATGAGGAAACCAAGACCCAGATATGTTAACTGATTTGCTGAAGGCCACACTGGGAGATAACAACAAAACAGCTCTGCTGCATGCAGAATGCCATTTTATTTTTAAATTTACAAGTTGACCACAGCTTCAAAATCAAGTGACTATTTCTGTTCAATCATTCATCAAATTTTCTATTCCATATCTACCTATACTTTGAGGGAATTTATTAAAGTATATGAAACTTGGATAACCAACATTCATTAAATTACATTTTCATTATACCTAAGTTCATTTTTACAAAGCATAGTGTAATGGAAAGAGGCAATGGATTTGAAATCAGAGAACCTGGGCTTGAATACCAACTCTGCCTCCTTACTGCCTGTGTAATCATGAGCAGGTCACAAGCTCCCTGGACCTCAGCAAAATGCAGGGGTTGGACCAGATAATCTCTAATACTCCTTTCTACCTCTTACTCTATGATCCTACGATTAAAAAATGAATTGCAAACACATTTTTGGCTATACTCCACAATTTAGAAACCAGAAGAAAAATATGATGTATCAATGATCCTCACACAACTAAGAGAGATTAAAGTAATTCACCAACCTCATTAATCAGGAACTGGAGCTGGATTACTGCAGCACCACTGTCATGCTGGCAATAACATTCTACTCCTGGACGACCAAAGCTGTGATTAATGCTATTAAGGAATTTTTGTTGAGAAGATGACAAAAGATATACAAAATAGCTTGAGATACATATTTTAGTTACCTGTTTATGCAATAAACAGTCTTAACATTTAGATTATTATTTATTGTATATTCAACTAATTAGTAAATTTTCTTTTGTTAAGAATTAAAGGGCAGTTAGGTAGATAGAGTGCCAGGGCCTGGAGTTTGGAAGACTCATCTTCATGATTCAAAACTGACCTCAGACACTTACTAGCTGTGTGACCCTGGACAAGTCACCCTGTTTGCCTAAATTTCTTCATCTGTGAAAAGAGCTGTAGAAGGAAACGGAAAACCACTCCAGTGTCTTGGCCAAGAAAACCCCAAATAGGGTCACAAAGAGTTGGACACCACTGAAAAAACTAAACAATAACAAAAAGAAATAAAAATTAAGTACTCCAATATAAAGTAAACCCTTTCTAAAAATCAGTGATCTACAAACACAAATATGCATTAACCTTTAGAAATATGAATTAAATTATTTAAAATTTTTCAAATGTTTTCCTTTGGCTATAGAAATTGCTATTTTAGCACCAATTATTAATTTGTGATCCATTCTTTTTCCTTCTTTTGTCAAAACTCCACTCCTGAAAAAGTGTAGTAGTCACTGAAGGGCAAGGTAATTTGATCACTCTTAGCTCCCAAGGCATCTGCTCATTAACTAGTTTGGGCTGGGCCCCACCCAAAGGCGACCCTCCTACCTGTAGAGGGCCAGCTTTAGGGAGTTGGAAGGCTTAGGCCAGCCCGGGTCTTACCTGCAGCTTGTACTAAGCCTGACAGCTGTGAAACTCAGGATGTCGGCTCACCACACCCCTGTTCTGTCTCTTGAAAACAGGATGCAGGAAGGGAGGAAACGGATGGGGTACAGGACAGGATGCAGGAAAGAATGTAACAGACAAGGTACAAGGAAGTAAGGAAAACACCTAATTAGATTTGTACTTTTCATGAATACCAATGTTACTACCGCTTGATCCAGTACTATATAAGCCTGAGCCCTCAGATCCATAAACAGAGTTTGTTCTTCACTGCTCTCATCTGGCCCGTGTTTCTTTCTCTCTTCACACTCTGCCGGCATCATACCACAGCCAGGGATGCAGGCGCTCCCGGCACCTACCTTTGGTTTAATCAATAAACAGGACCCAGTTTGAGTCAGACCCTTGCCCAGGAAGTATGAGCTTTGTCCTGGCTCCCTTCATTAAAGTTTGGGGTGACATGATCTACAAAAAGGAGAACAAGCCAGCCAAAAACCTGATTGAGATAGCTTATGTTTCTCTGATTAAGACTGTTAGCAATTTGCATTCCTTAGGAGTCAAAAAGGAATATGATTAGACACATCTGAGACCCAGCCCACTGTCATTTCCCCTCCCAAAGATAGAGAGGATCTCAGGATTCTTAGCCCACTTCCTCATTAAAATGTCCCCCACTTGGGGTTGCCAGGGAAGGTCCCAAGGATATTGTCAGGTCAATAAGAAGGAAGACACATCCAGCCAGTCTTTGGTGAAAATGGAGGCATGCCAAATACCTGTTCTTTATTAATTAATTATCACTATTATTATTAAAATTAACCTTAGAGGCAATGCTCAGTCACTATTACTTAAAAGCAAGTGGAAATTGTTTGTGTCCTATAAAAGAGGTGCTAGTTAGTAGGCATGACCATACTCCATGAAGAAGTTCCCCCTAAATACCTTTAAAGACACACCCAATAAATTCCAGCTGATTGGAGACCTCCTCACTACCACCCAACTTCACCTCTATGTAAGTTAAATACGTAACTTGCAGGGCACTACTTACTGTGAAGAGACCAAACGTGGCTTCTTACTACAGCCCACAACTTACAAATAGTTATCTAAGTGTGTGTTTGAGGACTTTCAATGAAGGAAACCTCTTATCTCTTAATCCAGCTTGTTTTACTTCTGGATAGATCTAATTATTAGTGAAATTTTCCTTAAATCAAGCCTAAACAATCTTGCAATAGTATATCATTTTCATAGTTTCAAAATTAATAATTTCTAGAAAAAACATTTTAAATGACATATGACTCACTGTTAGTTTTATATACACCCTCCCCAACACAGCCAATCATAGGCTTGTCTTGAACACAATCACATTACCTTCTATATTCATTGTTGTGCAATACTTTCAGACAGTTTCACAGCCCCTCAAGCTAATCATGACCTACGAACTAGTGACCTACAGCAGCTTTGAAAGTAAAATCCTCACCCCCCAAGTACTCCATATCCTGCCTCACAGATCAGCAGGTGTCTACAATATGCACTTCTCAAAAGGTAGGCTCTGTGCTCCTGGTACAATAGCTAGTGGGTAAGAATGCCCACTAGCTCTTTCATTTTTGTGTAGGATAAAGAGAGTCACACAGGATTATCGGTATGGAGGGGCTGCAACTGTCTTCTCAGATCTCATTATATTATTTTCTCTCCTTTGCCCCCTAAACCCACTCTTCTAACAAACTTCCTCATTTTGGTCCAGGGCATCACCATCCTTCCAATCACCCAACATGCAACCTTGATGTCATACTCAACTAACAGGTTCTGTATGAAGCAGATCTAGAATGAGGACCAAAGAGAGCCAATGTCCACATCCATTTTTTAAAGCAGCTAAGTGGCACAGCGGATAGAATGCTAGACCTACAGGCAGAAAGGACATTTAGTAGTTAGTAGTTAGGTGACATCAAGTTAACTTCAGTTTTTTCAGATGTAAAATAAGAATAGAATTAGAATACACATAAATTGTTTTGCAAATCTAAAAGCTCTATATAAATGCAAGTTACTGTTACTATTATTACTATTATTTCTATTATTCCCAATAGCAATCCTTTCAATGTTCAAAAGTAAACTTTAACACCATAAGTCTTCTCTAGGCTAATATCCTCACTTTCTTCAACAAATTTCTGCATAGATAGCATGGTCTCCCCACCCAATTCACTGCCCTCTTCTGGATGTACTCTAGTTTATCGATGTTCTTTCTAACCTGTGGCACCCTGGACCATACGTGGGTGCTATGGTAGGTATCAGGTAATAAGGAGAGAATACAGAAGAGAGTCTCTCTCATAAAAGATATTATATATCTACTTATGTAGCTTTTGAATGCATTAGTTTTATTGCCCACCTTATAATACTACTGAACTAGCATTTTCCTAAACTCTGAGCTCTTTTTTCACAGTAACTGTATCTGCTACACAGCCACCTCTCTCCAAGGCTGTACTTTTGCACATAATGGGCAGGCCTTTACATTTATACCCACTATGTTTCTATTACATTTCATAGTGGAAAGGGGAGAAAGGAAACAAGCATTTACTTTGCGCCAGGCACCGTTGCATACATTTTATGAACATTACCTCATTTCATCCTCTCAATAACTATATGCAGTAGTGCTATTATAATTTCCATTTTACATTTGAGGAAACAGAGGCAGATAGAGGTTAAGGGACTTGCCTAGGGTCACATAGCTAGTAAGTGTCTGAAACTGAATCTGAAACTAAAGTTTTGAAGTGGCTGTTGTTTTTTCATTCAAAAGACGAAAATGAGGTCAACAATGTAATACTATTATTTTAAAGCCAAAATAATTACAAAACCAAAAAATAGATGAAATGGTGTTCTATCTCTACTCTTCAGTGGCCAAGCTCATTAAATATTGAATCCAATTTTAGAGGGCATATTTGTGATATGTATAAAAAAAGAGAGATTTTTTTGGACTGGACAGAGTTCACTGACTTAACAATTCCTAATCAGTAAATTCATTCCACCACTGAGGATTAGCTCTTGTTTTGCAATGTAGTCTGACTAACCTAGCATAGTGAGAGGTTAAGTGACTTGCTAAGGGTCACAGAGTCAGTATGTATCAGAAGCGACACTTTTGAAGGCATGAAAAGGGAACAGGAAGGCTTCAATATCCTATAGTAGATCAACTTTTTACAATCATATAATTGACTGAAAGATGTAAAGAATATAAAACCCACTATGGTTATTGTTGATTAACTATCTAAAAAATATTTCATATAATAGGATAAAATATCACTTTAAAATATCTCTAACAAGGTGTCTGTCTCCCACCCATTGATCACAATCATGCAAAATATCTTGAATAATATAATAGATAACTTTCATCTGATAATCTTCCACAGAGCAACAGTGGAAGACAACAATCCACGTACTCCATTGGTATCCTTGCAATGTCCCTAGCATGTGTTGCAGGGCCAACAAAACTTTAACTGCTGCAATGATTTCAACAATGTCTGCCCTCTGAGGTTCTAAATCCCTATTTATCATATAAATGCTTCCTTTTTAAGATGTTTATAACTAATCAAAAGTGCCAATCTTCCCCTCCAAAGGTAGATGATATTGCTTGCTAAGGTATAAAAACAAGTATATGTGGCTATATAAGTAAATTAATATTATAATAAAATATTACTATTAATATATAGCTTTTATTTCCTTAACATCAGAATTTTTATAATGTTTCCTCCTTCCCCACACCCCTATGTAGATCAGCATTCTTATGTGAAAGCCAGAGGGACATCTGCAAGGGAAAGACTGTTATTCTCCTTGAGAAGCAAGTGCTAAAGTCTTCCATTTGACATCATTAGTTTAGCTAGTTAAAAGCAACTAAAACAAACCAAAAAAAAAAAACCCAACCCATTGGGATATTTTGATTACTTGTTTTTCCTGACCATGGGCTTTCATTATATGCTTTATAATTTCTAACTACTGGGAAGTTTTCCCTATGTTTCCAAAATTGTGACAGTATTCAGTTTAGTGCAAGGAAGAAAAGAAAGAGACCTGGCTCTGGAGTCAGAAAAGCTGGGTTCAAATCCAGGCTGTCAGGTTGACTACCTATGTGATCTTGGACAATCCCCTTAACTGCCCTAGGACTCTTTCCTCATCTGCAAAACGAAAGAGCTGGACTGAATGGTCTTTGAGGAGGATGCCAACATCCTCCCAGTCAC